CTAAGAGTAGAATATTTTCGAGTTGAGAATAATGATCAACTTAGCTTATGAAAAGCAATGTCATCTAATGGTTGTGTCAGTGTTGGGGCAAGATTAAGAACATAAGAGAAGTTCAAGATTAAAAAAAGAAGATCTATGCTTTTCTTTGAAAATGAGAATGCCAAAGAGTGATACATTTGCATTTTAGGCATACTTTAAGACCTTATATTCATAACATCAGACATAAATATATAATCTTGCAGGTTTGTTCAAGTCAATTTCAACTTTATAACAAAGGATATTGCACACCAAGCACCCAGGATCGACTTAAATCGCGATGGATGAGACATCCATAACATAGCTCAACTCAACGACGAGGGGCTATTTTCCCACCAAGGTTATCAAATCTAGAAGAAGACCTTAAATTAACTTCGGTTTAGCTTAACTCAACAACGAAGATCTACTTTCTAGCCTAACTTTCGAGCAATATTTCAACTTCACGACGAAGGATATCAAGCTCGATATCAATCAAGACTGGCTTAAACTACGACGGGGGTTGTCTCATTTGACTTAAACCCACGAAGGGGTCGTCCAAAAAAATCAAAATTGGCTTAGACCCACAAAGGGGGTTTTTTTATTTGACTTAAATCCACGAAAAGGAGTCATAAAAAAATCAAGACTGGCTTAAATCGTGAAGCAGAGTCGTCTTATGTGACTTAAACTTGCAAAGGGGAATCATCTAAGGAATCAATACAAACTTAAATTGCGAAGGGAAGTCGTCTTGTTTGGATTAAAACCACGAAGGGGAGCCATCCAAAGAATCCTTCACTTGGAGGAATCATTTACAACAAAAACTTAAGTCGAGAAGAGCTATATATCAACAAAAGCTTTCAAGTTCAGTTTCAAATTCACGACGAAGGATACTCAACTCAATAGCGCATTGATATCATGATAGTAGTGAGGAACTATATTCTGGTCAAAATTCAAACCAAGGTTTTTATGTCTAGAAGAAGACCCACATTGGTTGCGATTTAGCAACAATGAATTATTTTTCATCCCAGATTTTGACCTAGCTTAAGCCGAGAAGAGCTATATGTCAATCAAAGCTTTCAAGTTCAATTTTGACTTCACAACGAAGGATACTCAACTCAGAAGCACATTGACCGTGTTGTAGCAACAAGGAACTATCTTCTGGTCAAAATTCAGACTGAGGACTTTAAGTATAGAAGAAGACCCAAGACTGACTACGATTTAGCTACAAGGAACTATTTCCCAGTCCAGATTTTGAGCAAATATTTCAACTTCACAGAGAAATATATCGAGCTCAAGTCACAGAAGACCGAACTCACAATAGAGAGGTCGCCCACAATATAGCTTAAGTCAATAAGAGCTATCTGTCAACCAAAGCTTTGAAGTTCAACTCCACGACGGAGGATATCCAGCCTGAAAAACCAATCATCCAAATTAACTTTAATATTCACTAGCAAACTAACTAAGAATTTTGTTGACTTTTTCATATTCAATTACTTTGGAACCAAGATGAACTAGAGGAAGATTTTCAAGCCCGTATACTTAAAGATGTAGAAAATGTAAACAAGCCCTTATAATGGACTCAAAAAGCCCAATCTTTCTTGAAGATGCAGATAAAGTAGAAGAGCATACCAGTCGAAGGTTAAAGGAAAGCGACAACAACATGGAATTAAGCTATGTCAATGGAATAAAAATCAGTTATTTTTTATTTTTGGTCTATTCGTGTTACACGCCAATGAATAAAGAGGAGCAGCTGTAATACCCAATTTTTGGTTGGCCTATCTTTTCTCCAAGGCCTAAAATATTTTATTGAAGCCAAATTTGAAGTTTGGGATATTAGTCAATTTGTAACAAATTTTCAAGAAAGATCAAAAATGTTTTCAGGACATGATATCTTTTTGAGATAGAACCTTATTTCAGTTAGCTTTCCAACGTATCTTGAAACGCCTCAATCGGACATCGAAAATTCAAAATATGCTCATTTTAGCGAAGATGGTGCGTGCAAAAACTTAGATACATGTCCAATATGGGAATTTTAATTTATTCCAAAATTTTAATTATTTCATTGATTATTTGTGAATAAATTCAGTTTTATACTTTCAATTATTTGGTAATTTAGGATCTTTTTATTATTTTCAATTTTTTTTCTTTTAATTAGTGTATCTTAGCATTAATGAAAATATGTTAGGTTTTTTTTTGCTTTTAGGGTTTTTGGGAGCTTATAAATAGGCACCTCTTATTTTGTAATGAGAGGATGATTTTTTTTTGTTTGAAAAAGAGGAGGAATGAGCTAATAAAATTTCTTGAGAGAATTATTTCTGCATTCAATTTCTTTTCTTTTATTTCGTTCTTACTTTGGATTCACGCTTTATTTAATTACTTAGATTGATTGCTACATCGAATCTTATAAGTTTATTTTGTTTTAGTCTTAACTTTGCATGTGTAATATTTATTCTTCTTCTAATTCTTATTCATTTTAAGTTTTTCATATATATATATATATATATATATATATATATATATATATATATATTATATTATATTATATAACTTTTACGTATTCATTATATATATATATATATTTTATATTTTATCATTCATTATTATTATATTATTTATATTATTTTTGTATATATAACTTTTATTTATCTATTATATATATTTATTTATTCTTATATTGTTAATATGTAAATATTTTTATAATATATATATAAATATTCAATTTGATGTGCAACTTTTCACTTTTTTTTGTTATGGTTATTTATTATTCATATTTTTCATATATATTATTCTTTAATTTTTATTAGTTTACTAACATATATATATATATATATTATTACTTTTGGTAATCTTGATATTTATACTTTGTGTATTTAATTTTTCCTTGGTCAGATAAAGGGGATTACAGGTTACCCCGAATGGTTTCACTATTATTTTAGATTCTCTCCCGCCCCCAATTACTTGATATCTTCCAAAGAGACACTTTCGGTCCATCTTATCTTCGGGTGAATAAATCATTGTAATGGTTTTTGCCTTCCTTTATATTAAAAAATTTAATAATTTTAACATAAAAATTATCAAAAGAATCTACGAAGTAATTTTAAAGTTTAACTTTTAAAGTAACAATCTATAAATACACAAACTAACGTATTAAAAAGAAGAGAAAACAAATACACTTTAGCGATTTGTTTAAGGGGAAAGAAAAAATATATTGTAGCGATTCTTCTTAGTGTTCGTCAGTAAACACCGCTAGGAGCGAAATCGATTGTTCTGTTGAAAATTAATAACCTATAAGCCAACTCTTTCACTAGACGATCAAAAATGAATAAAACTATTAAGAATCTCTTTCATAACATCAAGGTTGCATGCAACGATAACCCGTGTATGAGTGTATCACCTAAGCTAAAAGAAAATTCAATTATAATTTATGTAATTTTATTTATTTTTAAATAATTATATTTCAATGGTCAATTAATAATCAATATTTTTTACTGACATGATAGGACAATGTTAATAACACAATTGAAAAAAAATCAGCAAACGTTACATTATTATTATTATTATTATTATTAACATTATGTAGTTGGATCCTTACTCATATTATACTGATAAAAACTTTCAATATTAGTCGGTTTTCTCAGTTATACTTTTAGAAATCTTTTATTCGACGATTAAAATTTTAAAACTTTATTTAATTTTAAACAATTCCATTTTGAATGATCAATATTTTCATTGGCATGATGGGGTAACTTTAACAACACAATTGAAAAAAACAAACCAACATTAATGATTTTTTTGCTATTATGCCTTTATCACTATTGATTTATGAATTTATTTTAGGGTAACTAAACTATTAGTTTGATTCTATTTTGACTATTGAATTAAAAATTTTATCAATTAAGTCACTAAATTTTCAATTCAATTTCAATCAAGTCGACTGACAATTAACATAAGTACTAACATGATACTTAAAGTAAAAATTATATAATAGAATATTTAATTTTCATTACTTACACACTATATTAGTTTGTTCATAATTTTAATTAGAAATAATTTAATAAATTTAATCCTCAAAGAAAATGGTGTTAATAATAATATATATGGGTAAGGATCCAATTGCATAGTGAAAAACTAAAAAGTTTTACACCTTTTTAGGATCGTTGGATGAAGAAAAATCAAAAGTTGAGATTAACAATAGAAAATGAGAATATATCACAAGAAAAAAAACAATGAGAACATCTCAACCAAGTATGAGAATTGATTCAATGATTTAGGGCAGTAAGTATAGCTTTTGAAAAGTGATTTTTAAAAGTGTTGTAGAAACGAACTTTTAAAAGTGTTGCACAAAAGTGTAGTTTAAAATTTAAGTGTTTGAATTGCTGATGACAAGTGAGTTTGAAAATATAAAATATATATTATAAACATTATTTTGTAAACTAAAAGAAAGTATGATATTATAAAAATTATAAATTTATATATATTGATATCAAATATTTTTATTTTTAAATATTACTATACTAATATATTGACAAATAAATGTTGAAAAATAACTTTTAACCTTTTGTCATTAAACGCTTATATTCTTGAGATTTATGGTGCTTGAATCTAATTTCTCAAGAAATAATAATAATTCTATTACCTCGGATACCACTTGATTCGTACATTTTCATCAAGTTAACCATTACAAAGATTTATTTAAAGAAATGAAAATTTAAAGTTTGAATTAAGAAAAACTTTAAGCATACAATTAAGAGGAGGGATAAACATCGAGCTTATGGACCTCTTAACGTTTTGAATATGGTGATGAATTTATTGACCTCGTCCAGATTCATGCACTTATGGAGAATTAATTAAAGAGAAGTGAAGACACGCGCGGAGAGAGTAACGTGAAGTTTCAATGTAAAGGAATGTAGCAGACGGCATAAACCACTAGTAATCGAGCCAGGCTGACAAAAAACCAAACGGGAAACCTTTGTTTTATATATATATGGCGAAAAGAAATTCATCCAATCGGCGTTTTTGATTCAGAAAAAAAATCTGGTTTTCCGAAGAAAAGAAAAAGGAAAATCAAATTCAGAATCTGCTGAGATCTTTATTTTGTTTTGTTTCTCTCGGAAGAGAAAGAGAGGTTGAAAAAGCTTCAATAAATGGCGGTTTTTAGAGTTCATGAGGTGTAGTGATTGACGGTTTTGTATAGCTTTTTTTATCAATGGAAATGCACAGTCGAAGATCCAACTACTCGCTCCTTAGTCAGCATCCTGACGACCAGTATTCCGTGTCCCTGTCAGGTGGTCCGCCGCAGTATTACGATTCGGTTTCTAGCGAAGCTATGACTAATAGAATCGGCAGAGTGAAATCAGAGAGAGGTTTATTGGATTGGGGTCAGAATCAGAGTCAGAACCAAGGCCAGAACATGCAGCCAGCGAGTCGAATCGGTGGAGGAGGGAACACTTATGGGTCATCAATCGGACATCAACGGCACTCGAGCGGGAGTAGCTTTGGTGAGAGCTCGTTATCTGGAGATTATTATGTGCCTACGCTTTCTACGACGGCGGCGAACGAGATTGATTATTATGGCTACGATGGGAGCTTTAGGCATGGGGATTTTGGAACGAAAGTTGGGGGTTCGTCGTCGGGGAAAAGCTGGGCACAGCAAACGGAGGAGAGTTATCAGTTGCAGTTGGCGTTGGCTTTGAGGCTTTCTTATGAAGCTACCTGTTCTAATGATCCGAATTTTCTGGATCCGGTTCCGGATGATTCTGCTATTCGGTCGTCTAGTTCTAGCTCTGCGGAAACAGTTTCGTATCGGTTCTGGGTAAGCATCCTTGAGAATTTATTTTCTTTTTGTTTGTTCGCACTTTGAGCTTGTTTAAATGAACCAATGGTCATCAACACCAGGCGATTGAATAAATATGAATAGGTGAATATATTAAGTGTTACAGTGAATGTAATTCATTTTAGATATTTTAAAGATTTGGCATGAGATAAGCTGGATAATGGGCGTGAATTCTGAGCTTGAGTTGTGAGCCCGAATTAGTCATAAGATAGGTCCTATAGGATGTGAAAAGTTGGTTGGAACTACCACTAGTTTTCAATTTGTTCAGGATTAGTCCAATTTGAACTTCGGGGGATAAGATGATCAGTTGTCATTTTTGAAAATAATTGTTATTTGCAATTTAAAAATTGAACATTATAAGGTGGAAGTAGTTGCTTAATTTCATGATCAAACTGCATCAATTGTAGTTGAACTATTATTACTCTGGTTAGCCTGTGTAGATGGATGTGGCATGAATGGGGCACATGCATACTAAAGAACTATGTCTGCCTTGACAAAAATCATTTACAAATACATGTGAAATGGTTACTTACTGTTGTATCTTTTTCTTTTTTGTTTAAACAAGGTGGGGATTCTATTCACCAATTAGATAGTAAATATGTTTGTTTTGCTAGTAGAATTCAGGTACGCTTTTTAGAAAAATAATAATGTTTAGGGGTCAAAATGTCGAAATGTGAGAAGTGCTGTCGCTATTTAGAAAAATAATAATCTTTAGAGGTCAAAATGCTGAAATGAGAGAAGTACTGTCTTAGATAGACACTGTAAATATGTCTATTAAAAAATGGGTGCATGTGGAAAGGGTTTATGCATATTATATTGCTAATGATGATTGCTATGATATTTTTGGAGTGTATCTATTTTGTATCCTACGTTATCGGCTGTCAATGTGGGCTAACTAAGAGTGTATAAGTCGCCTGGAATTTGAAATACACGTGCACAGATTAGGGAAGTTAGTAAAGTTTCAGGATTGCGCCGACTATAATCTGGATATTCATGTATCACTGTTACATGCATCAGGTTAATGGCTGCTTATCATACTTCGACAAAGTTCCTGATGGGTTCTATTCAATGAATGGACTGTATTCATATGTCTGGATTGTGTGCACTGATCTGCATGAACAAGGTCGAATTCCATCAATTGAATCTCTAAGATCTATTGATCCAAATGTCGATTTGCCACTAGAAGTGATATTGGTTGACCGAAGAAGTGATCCTGGCTTAAAGGAACTTCAAAATAGAGTCCACCACATTTCTTGTAGCTGCATAACTACAAAAGAAGTAGTCGATCAGTTAGCCAAGCTTGTATGCATTCGCATGGGGTAAGTCATGTAAACCATGAATGCACAAATTTTTGACAGTCATGCTATTTTGTTTCTCATTGGTGATGAATTGTTTTATTTATTTCCCAAGGGGTTCATCCACTACTGGAGAAGACGACTTTGTTTCCTTTTGGAGGCAGTGCAGTGATGATTTAAAAGATTGCTTAGGTTCAGTTGTGCTTCCTATAGGAAGCCTATCTGTTGGCGTTTGTAGACATCGAGCTTTACTGTTCAAAGTAAGGGTCTTAACATTTATGGTGTTTAATTTCAACTGAGAGTTTATATGGTACTTTGGCTTTAGTTATAGTTAACATGGTATGACTTGACTTTTTCTTTTGCCAAAAAGATTATAAAACTTCACTACATCTAACTAGGAGCAATTTCCTTTTGTAAAATGTGTTCCCCTTTATGAGGTGAGGATTCATTCACGGTTCAATTATAATTTGTGCAGGTGCTAGCTGACACTATTGATCTACCATGTCGAATTGTGAAGGGCTGCAAATATTGTAAAAGAGATGATGCTTCCTCCTGCCTTGTTCGCTTTGGACTTGACAGGTAGCTTAATCATCACCATGGTATTTTTTGCCTTAACTTTGTTTTTGATTTATTTTTCTTTTGCTATTTTTTATTCTTTAAAAATTCTGATTCTCTTTTGGTATGGTTTGTGTTTGAATGGCAATATTTTGCTGACAAAACAAATCTAGCAATTTTTTAATGTTTTCACGTGAAAGTTATTTTTTACCTCACTTGCATGATGGCTTTGCATTGCTCTGATTGTGTCTCTTCATTTTGATTTATGATTTGTGAAAAGTTAGTTTGCAACTATCTCTGTAAAATATTTTCCGTATGCAAGAAAAATTTCACCAAGCCTGCCTTTGTGATTTCAGGGAGTATCTTGTTGATTTAATTGGGAACCCAGGCTACCTATGTGAGCCTGATTCCTTGCTCAATGGTCCATCTTCCATATCAATTCCGTCCCCATTGCGTTTTCCATGTCTCAAACCAGCACCTGCCACTGATTTCAGGTCATTGGCCAAACAGTACTTTTCGGACTGTGAATCACTTAATCTTGTATTTGATGTTGTACCAGCAGGTAAAGTTTCAGTTATCATCTATTTAAACTCTGAATCACTTGTTAATAATCAGAGAAACGAAATAAGGAGAACGAATTAATCATTCTTTCTGTATAAAACTCAAATTACAAGGTATTTATACAAGAACATAGTCATCTATCCTATGCAACTGACCAAGCTGTCAACAATAATTATAGAATATAATTCCTATTTGTTGTTAAATTAATCTTAAACAACCAGTAACTTACGACTTGCATAAGTGGTATCAAGCAACAAACATGTCCCAACTTGTGAATATGTAAGGGCAGCTGCCTTCCATATTTTTCCTCTAGTATGAAGCAACAAATATGCCCTGGAAATGCGTGATTCAATTGAATTGTTGAGTCCTGACATCATGAGGGAATTTTCTGAGTCCTACTGATCAGGGATTCAAATCGCGGCCGCGGTCGCGTTTTCGGTTGTCGCGTTTACGCGATTGCGGCCATAGCGGGTATATTGGAAGGCAACGCTACCGCTATTTCGCGGGCGCTATCGCGGTCGCAGACCGCTATTTAAAACCCTGTTACCGATCATAAGTAAGAACATTCTCTTTGCGCCTTTTTAAATGTCCAGTAATATACCCCTGGCAATACTCTGCCCTTGATGAACAACAAACATGATTACCACCATGTAAGATAGTTGTTCCTATCAAGCTTTAGGAGGCTGATTTGCAGAGGGGTTGTTGAGGCAAATGATTTTTTTTGTTCTCTGCCATTTCCTTATTTCTCCTTCAAATATAAAATAATAAGGCAGAAAAAATAATCCAAGGAAAGAGGACTCACTAAAAAAAGCTTTAAGCAAAACATCTAGCTAGCACCAAAATCAGTAGGGGGTGGGGTGGAAAAAGCCCAAGGAAGTTGATGATAGGAGAAACCACCTCCAAGAGGTTTGTGTCACGCGCCGCGTGGACAAAGGCGCCAGATCTTCTGGTGACACGTGAGGCTTACGTGTAGAGAGAGAGGTGGTTAGACTCTTGGGTCCTGGAAATGCGGCCGAGGGTATCCTAAGGGTGGCGGGGAGAAGAAATAACTGGGTCAAGGGTGTAAGTACCAAGATTTTGTTTTCTAGGGTTTGACTGAAAAAACAAATTTTGGTCCCTAAATTGGAATTCTAGGCTACAGAAACAAAATAGGGATAAAGAATGATTCACTCTTTATGTATTGAACTCATAAATTACAAGGTATTTATACACAACGGTAGTCACCTATCTAAGCCAACTAACTATGCTGTTAAAGGAATACTTGCATAATAAAATCCATAATTGTTAGTCAGCTAGTACCAAATAATCAGTAAGTGATGATTGCATAATCTGTATAGCTGTCATATAATAAATATCACTTGATCTTGTATTTGCATGTTGCTCCAGCAGGTAAAGTTCCAGTTACTATCTATATGAAGCGCTTTAATGAATGCCCTTTATTTCCTTTGAGATTATATCCTTTTAGCCTTTCATTTGGCGTGAAGTATGTAGTTTCGTTTGATCAAATGCAGAAAGATTTTTCATATGCCTTCACTGGTATGCTGTAGGTTAAAGTTCGATTTCAAGTTTTGTAGTTTTTCTTTTGGCATCTTCACTGATGGAAGTGATAGATGATGCATCTTTTCCGGTATCCATGTTCTATATTAACCGTTTCTTATCAATTTTCTATTGAAATTTAAGCACGGGCTTCTGTTCAGAATTTTCTCCTGGAGCCTGATTCAAGCTTTTTCTTAAATATTGCTTTGAATTACTGGGAAAACCCAAAAAGTGTCGGCAGTTTTTATGTGAACAAGCATTAATAAATACATATTTTCAATTGCTCCTTGTTGTTGGTTGCACTTTTATAACCTTTTTGAGGCTTCATTTCTATATCTGCAAATACATTAAAATTTTGTTTTTGAACACCGGGCTGTGTTTCATGAAGAAATATAGTCTTGTATATGAACTATGTTTGTGACTTAAAATATGATACCTTTTCTAGTGATTCGGCCATAGCTATGTAAAATTTGTGGTTCAACTTCTGATTCCGTATTCATCCGGTGTCTAATTAAGCTATTGTTTTCCATTTCAGGTGCTACTACAGATGGAGAAAATTTTGGATTCTCTCTTTATGCCAATAAACATGATAAGATTGACACAGAGGGAAATAAGCTTGTGCAGATTTCAAGTAATATAGATGGTATCTCACTGTTGCCCCGACCTCCTAACATTGCTCGGCCAACTTCTCATGATAGAGATTCCCAGTATTCTCAGCCTATAGTACACTCAAAGAACATTATTAATGATCCTTCAAGGTTTACTGAGGGCAGTGAGCATGTACCCAGCAAACCAAGTGGCGAACTTGCCCTTGAAGCTGATGATTTGGATATTCCGTGGAGTGATATTGTTTTAAGAGAGAGAATTGGTGCTGGTATTCCCTGGTCCTTTTTTTATGAAGATTTTTACAGTATAGAGACCCTCTATTGTGCTCATAATCCATGGAGTTGCGGTTATTCAAGTGTACTTAGGATTATACATTGTTCTTTTCAGGTTCTTTTGGAACTGTCCATCGTGCTGAATGGAATGGCTCGGTAAGAATCCTTTTAATTATTTTCTTGCTGTTAAAGTTAAATATTATAAAAGTTTTGTATTTGAAATCTGATGTGCCATGTTGTCGATACTTGATGGTTAATATCTGCTTTCTTGTATTTCAAAATTCTTGCTGTCTAGTGTCTTATTGAGAAAATGCAACATTAGTCATGTATATTTGATAAATGAAAGTTGATAGATTCAGTACCATATGGTATAATTGTTAGCATTGATTTTGGAATTAGGGATAGTTAAGGAATTTTAGTTTTCTATAAATTGGTGAATTTTAGATTTTCTATAATATGGTGTTCCATGGAGTCAACTTTAGGTGCGAAATCTATGTTATCTTTATTCTTATCTTTGGATCAATTCCTACACTATAATTTCTTAAGATTCGAACCTAAATGGGCTTGAATTTTAGAAACCCTTTCTTACTGTTCACTTCAGCTCACATCAATTGACCATTGAAACTCAACTCTCAAATCCAAACTATTAATCTTGATACTGTTTTTGCATGTCGTAGTACCAGAATCCTTTTATTCTATAGACCCTTCTAAACCAGCCTCTCTATTTCTGACATGCTCGTTCTCTTTTAGCTATATCCATAAATGGAAAAGGTTCAATAAGGTTAATCTGGCAATACACCTGGATTTGTGTGCGGTTTTAGTACAAGGTATTTGTTGTGTCAATTTTTAGTTTGCTTAGCAAAGAATCTTCCATTAGGCCCATAGTTTCAACCATCTATTTTGGTAACCGCCTTTTAGTCACCTGTTTGCTACCCTTTTGTTGTAAGATTTAACTTGGTTTATCCTATTTTATTTGCAATTTGGTCCATTTTCTGTGATATTCCTACTTTCAAGCAGTCAGCTGTTTTGGACTCCCTGATGTTTTTCATGTAGACTAATTTGCACTTGTCTTTACTTGCATGAAATTTGATATTTGGTTGTGTAGTTTACAATTCCTGTAAATCCAAGTAAACATTATTTTTAATTACAGGATGTTGCTGTGAAAATTCTCATGGAGCAAGACTTGTATGCTGAACGCTTCAAAGAATTTTTGAGGGAGGTATGAGTTGGGTGACAATTGGAGCATACTTTGTTCTTGAGATTAAGGAAACATTAATTTTACGCTCACGTTCTTGATGTGATCTGTAATTTCACCCAAACTTTTTGTTAGGTGGCAATAATGAAACGTCTACGTCATCCAAACATTGTTCTTTTTATGGGAGCAGTTACTCAGCCGCCAAACTTGTCCATAGTGACAGAATACTTATCAAGGTTTGTTGTTACTGCTTTAATCTCCATCTTCCATTTTTTTTAATACCCTTGCACTTGAAAAAAAAGAAAGAAAGGGAAATGTTCATGTCATCTTCATGAGGCTGAACTCTTGTCAGAGGTTGAATTGTTAATCTTGCAGAGGTAGCTTGTTTAGGCTTTTGCATAAGCCTGGTGTGAGGGAGGCATTGGATGAGAGACGGCGGTTGAGTATGGCTTGTGATGTGGTGGGTATTCAAAGGATATACTTTCTTTTTGCTTTTTCTTTCCCCAACTCCTCATGATATAATCCTTAAATTTTGTTTATTGGATTGGGCTAAATCACCACCTCCTTTTTTACACACAGGCAAAGGGAATGAATTATCTTCATAGACACAATCCTCCTATTGTTCATAGAGATTTGAAGTCTCCCAATCTTTTAGTTGATAAAAAATATACTGTGAAGGTAAGACCCTGAATATTTTGTTGCTGTGACTTGTATAATGTTTTCACGTAATGGTCTAGTGATAATAAACATCAATATTTTTCCATTTTTGTTTACGGATTTTTTTGATGGATGAATTGATAAGTGATCGACTCTTGCGGATAGTGGAATCTAGGTAGTTCTTAACCATTGTTATGCTGTTACAAATGGTAAATGTAGCTATGGTTAACAGTTGATAACAGTTTGTCAACTAGTGTTCCGAGATCATATTTGGCACTTTGTATGGATGGCACCAACTTTGTTCATTATAATATAATTTGCTGTAACTTATATCCTGTACCATTTTAATTTTTTAAAGAACTTTTTCAGTTTTGGGCGTGTCTGACTGTCTGGGGGATGATATTGCATGCTTCAGAAATTTTAGTCAAGAGGGAATCTCTTGGGCTCTGACTAAGGAAGAGTAGTTGTGTCACATTTTCCTACACTCCTGCTTGCTGTTGCATTTTTATGGTGATCTTAGCATAGCTATGATGTGGTTTTTCTATTTTCTTTTGAAGTCCATGTTGATACGGTTTCCAGTTTATGGCTTGCAAGTTTATTTGCTCTGTCATAACTTGTTCAAAATAGTTATGCAGTTTCAAAGTTCTTGTACATCTGTTACCTCACATTGCCTGGTCTGTACATTCAGGTTTGTGATTTTGGGCTTTCTCGTTTGAAGGCAAACACATTTCTTTCATCCAAGTCGGCTGCTGGAACTGTAAGTTTCACAAAATCTTAATGAAGTCTGTTGTGTTTCTATTTAACTTACCATAGATCAATAAATGTTTATGCTGCAATACTAAATCCTGTGTACTTTTTATACCAGCCTGAGTGGATGGCTCCTGAAGTTCTTCGTGACGAGCCATCAAACGAGAAGTCTGATGTATACAGTTTTGGTGTAATTTTGTGGGAACTTGCAACGCTTCAACAACCATGGGGCAACTTAAATCCAGCACAGGTTTGTAGCATCTTGACCCCACAAATATATCATTTTGCTGATATTTTAGTTTTTACTAGCTTTTGGTAAGTAGCAACTTGAAATCTTTGTTAAAAGGAAATGTTTGGTTTTTCCTAAAGATAGCACTTTATCGATTCATAGTTTGAATAATTATAAGATGTCGAGAAATTTCTTAGAGAACAAACCAAGTTTTAAGCTCCATGAACAGTGTTGTACAACCTGAGCTAGAGATCGCATGATCGAATGAGGAACTATCTGAATATCTTTACACCAAATGTTGACGTCTCATATTGACATAAAGTTCAGATTTATTTACATGGTACAGCAGGATTACAAGTTTTGTGCCTTTGAAAATATTGTGAAGCTCACAAGCTATTTCAGATTTTAGCAGCTTGCTATTAAATAGCTATACTTATCACTTTGTGGATTAACATACGTAATACCACTCATTGAACAAGTAGTATTTTTGTTCGTTCAATACCCTTTAAAACTAAGGTTTTCCGCCACTCAAACTTATAAATTTGTGTAATTGTCATGCGAGAAGCTAAATTCCTAAATAGCACAACTCAATGTAAATCCGGCTCGTAGGTTGTAGCAGCTGTAGGTTTCAAGGGAAAAAGGCTTGATATTCCGCGCGATTTGAATCCTCAAGTGGCTGCCATAATTGAAGAATGTTGGGCCAAGTAAGTCTTACATTCTTTTCGTATATGGATCCTGTTAGGCAAATTCTACAGTTATCCATACTAATTGTTGATTAAAATGCAGCGAGCCTTGGAAGCGACCTTCATTTTCCAACATCATGGAACGATTGAAATCACTAATAAAGCCTTCCAACCCACAACCAGGGTGTCCCGATATGCCATTGCTTGCCTGAATGGTCGTGCAACTCAATCAAAGCCTCCTTCATGCACATAATACAATATTCTTTTTGACATTATATGCATTGCAAAAGTTCATGCTAAATAACTAAAGGTACGCTCTTCTAAACACTCGAGTTTCAGAATTAGCAACATAACATGCGGTCTGCTTTAGGATTCTTTTTTATAGTTGGATCAAGAATTTCCTTTGAAGTTGTATGGCAATCAGAAAAGCTTGAGGGTGTTTCATGTATGTCCTCATTGGTTGCTCATGCAGACGGGACATGCTTGTGCCTGGTTGCATATACACGTTCTCGTTCATAGTTTACAAGAATTATAATGTTTAACTCCATTGTTTTGTTCACTGATACATTCATTCAATCGATCGATATTTTGCAGGATCGAGTGTCGTGCACATCTGTTCGCGTATAGCCGATTAGGACCTCTGATTTTTAACATGGACTAAAATCTTAAGTGTAAAGGGGTTTCTGTGGATTATGGAGTTTACCCTCGTCTTGCCAAAGATTGAATTTTCAAATGCAATGAGGGGAAAAAGTAGTAGTACATTCTCTCTCATAATTTTGCATGTAAAGGTTTAATTGGAATTAGATCAATGAGAAGAAACTTATCTGAGAATACGAGGCTTTTTAACGAGGGATTCATGATAGAATTTCAGCAAGACTGCTAACGATGGCCGGAGTTATTTGAGAACATGTTGAAATCAAGGGTTAGAGAATCAATAAAGAACCAAAGGAGATATGAAACGTAAAGGGCCGATTGGGAATGTTTATGGACGTGCTTTTGGTCTAAAATTTTATTTCAAACGTAAAAATATTTTTTAAACATTTCATTATCAGCCAGAATTTTAAGTTTGCAAAGTGATCGTTGACTCAAATAAAAAAAAAGCTGAAAAAATGATACTTTTACGTTAAAAAAACTCATTTGGAAAAGTATTACTAAACGAAATCTCCATCTAGACTTCAGTTATCCCATTATATCTATAACCCAATATTTTTCATAACACGTGATTGACATTCGCGGATAGTGAAATCTAGGTAGTTCTCGAGCACTCTTATTTTTATCCTTAGAGCTTCCCCTTCTCCCACTTCTCTAAGTAAAATTAGATTTAAAATTAATCAAAAAAAAAAAAATTCATATGATAGATCAAGTGGATTCAATTACATTTAATTTTTCTCTCTCAAACTTTTATACTTTTTATAAGAATTTTTTACATCTAAGTGAAGTCAACAGAACCTAATAAATTAAACATCAAACCGCACATAAATCTCATGTCTCATGTCCTCTTATATAGTATACTAACGATACGTTAATTGAATTAAATTTAAACAACAAAAGATTTGTTTTTCACAATGCTAAAGATTTTTTTAATGGTATAACTTTAATTTATTTAAAAACTTTACACGAACAATTTTCTTATGATATTAAAAAAAACTTTTATTTTATTATAATAATTTTTTTCTAATATTTATAATAAATCTAATATTTCTTCATCCAATTCTTTATCAAAAGTAAAAAATCGACCGGATTCAATAATAAAATTATATAGTTAGTCCACTGAAAAATTTAAGAGTTAATTGCATAATATTTCTCTAAACTATGACCCTTATTTTAAATTGATCTCTATATTTTTTAATATTTCAATTTCATCCTCAAACTAACCTATTCATTCTAAATTACTTCTCAAACTATTGAACATTCTAATTTCATCCTCAAAATATGAACCTTATTCTTGATTGGTCCTTGAACTTTTAAATATTCTAATTTCATCCTTAAATTCATCCAAATATATAACTAATTTAAACCATAATTTAACCTAAATTTTATTTTTTCAAACATATAATAATATAACTTGACCTAACGATTTTACTAACATGGAAATGTGATTAGTATATACACATAATTTGGGATAAAATTGAAATGTTGAAAAATGTTTGGGGACCAATTTAGATTGAAGGATATGTTTGGGGATGAAACAAAAATGTTCAAAAGTTTCAGGACTAATTTAGAATGATAGTCATAATTTAAAGATGAAATTAGAATATTTAAAAGCTTAGGGACTAGTTTAGAATGAGAATTATAGTTTCAATGTAATACCCCAAAATTCAGGTTAATAGTTTGGGTCAACCCGAGACCTTTAAGTCAATCCAATTAGACCTCCCAAGATAGTTGGACCAAGTTATATAGATGTTGGGCCTAAGAGATAGTTTTAAAATGAGTTAATAGGTGAATGACCTAAAGTTTAGTTTACCCATTTTGTTGAAGCTGAAAACTTCCTCCCTTTTTATATCATTTCATGTAACCAAACTCCCCATAATATCTCACCCACTCTTCTTCTTTTTCCTCCTATTAGTTTTCATTTCTTCTTCCTTTCAAGAGCCAAGTTTCAAGCATTCCAATCTTAGATTTGTTTAGCCAAGGTAAGAATGTTTTCTCTCAATCCTTCAAGCTTTGTTTCAAGCTCCATTTTGTGAGTTTTAGAATTTGTTTTGGGAGTTTGAAAGGAACCTAAAGGTTTAAGTTTGTTTTGAGTAATATTAAGTAGTATAAAGTGTTTTAACTTAGTTTCCAAGTCAAATACAAGTTAGTAACCCCTAGTTTTGTTTTGATTATCCAATGAGATGGGTTAAGTTCTAAAGCAAAGGATAAAGGTAAGGTGACTCCTAATTGAGTTGAGGGAGATTTTAGCAACCAAGGAAGTTAGATAACATACTCACAACTCTTTTATACTCCTAGTGATCATTAGAAATGAGTTCTAGCTTGAAAGTAGGTTATGAAGCTTAGAGTTATATGTTTGGGGACCTCACTAGTGTCGAATTATGTTTCGATATAACAAATTTAAAGGCAAAATGTTTTTGGACTTGAATTGAATTTATTCAAAGTTTTAAAAAGGTTTCAAAAATAATTCAAAGTCCATTAAATTCGGATTTGAGAAAAAATGCTAAAGGGTGTCAAAGTGCATCCATGCACCCCTGCAGTGCATCCATGCACCCCTGCAGTGCATCCATGCACCCTGCAATGCATCCATGCACCCTGCAGTGCATCCATGCACCTGCCACTAGTGCATCAATGCACCATGTAGTGCATCCATGCACTCCATTTCGAATGAAATTAGTGCATCGATGCACCCTGCCTGTGCATCCATGCACCAAGGCTGTAACAGCTAGTAACAACTAGTTTATTTGAATTTAATGAAGGGGTATCGATGCACCTTGATAGTGCACCGATGCACCATGTTATGGGCAGCCTTTTTGGGTAGAAAAATCATCCCCAAACGGCTCCAAAACATCCCCAACGGTTATATACGACATCAAACACATTCCAAGCTATAAATACAAGCTAAAGACACTTGAAGAAAAATGAGAACAACTATCCAAGCAATCAAACACAAGAGAAGAGTTTTTCATTCTTATTTTCATTCTCTCTTGTAAATATTATTCTAGTGAGCTTAATTCTTGTAAACACATACCTTTGAGAGGTTTTCTTGTTTACTTCTTTTATCTTTTTGTAAAGGGGAAAGGTTCTAGCTAATCCCGTGTAAAAGCTAGAGAAAGATTCTAGTTTAGCTCGGAAAAACTAGAGAGTTGTAAGGTTATCTCTTTATCCTCAAAAGAAAGAACAAATTAGTGAATTTGTTAGAAAATCCTTGGTGAGGAGCTAAGGTAGTGGGCGTAGACTTTGGTTGAGAAAGTCGAACCACTCTAAATCACTGTGTAATTTTCTATCTTTCAATCTCCTTACTCCCTAAACACAAAAATCATTCCGACCCCTCTTTGTAAATTGTTCTGATTGTCGATTCGAGCTTCTGAAAATCCCAACAATTGGCATCAGAGTCTAAGTCGTTAAGAAGGTTAACCACCTTGAGACGATCCTCGAAGAAGCTCTACCAATTCCCGACGCAACCGACAAAGAAATGACTTTTTCCTCCGGTGCTTATTATCTTGAAGAATATCCTATTAAGGATTCACAACCAGTCAACAAGCCACCCTTCTTCAATGGAGCAAATTATGCACATTGGAAGAATAAGATGATGTACTTTATTCAATCCTACAACCTAGGAGCTTGGAACTCAATCATGGATGGTTACTCCTCTCCACCCGGCAAGTACAATGATAGGAGTAGAGAAAAACAGAAAAATTTCCAACTTAATTCTAAGGCTATACATATTCTTTTATGTGCTTTAGGCCCAAATGAATATGGAAGAATCTCATCTTGTTCCAGTGCCAAAGAGATTTGGGATAAGCTCCAAGTCACTCATGAAGGAACCGACGAAGTCAGGGAATCAAAGAAAAGTCTTCTCAACCATAGCTAAGAGAACTTCAAGATGAAACCCGATGAAGACATCAAAGTTATGACGGATAGATTTTCCGTGATTTTCAACAGTCTCAAGGGATATGGAGAAGTAATCCCAAATGAAAAGCTTGTGAGGTAGATTATATATTCTCTTCCAAAGGAGTGGCAATCGAATAAGAAGACCATTATCGAAGCAAGAAACCTAAAGTCTCTCACTCTCAATGAGCTAATTGGTTCCCTTCTCACTCATGAGATGATGGTGAAGGAAGATGAAGAAAGGGAAGAGAAGAAAAACAAGAAGAAGAAGAAGAAGAATGAGGAGGCATACATTGTCTTCAAATCCACCAATGAAAGCTATCAAGATTCAAGTGATGAGGTGGATGAAGATGATGATAAACAAGAAGAAGAGATGGTCAAGCTCTTGAAGGAACACAAGAGATTCATGATTTCCAAGGAAGTGAAACATGAATCAACCAAGAAGAAGAGTCCCCCGGTGTGCTTCAATTGTCAAAGAAAGGGTCATGTCAAGTATGAATGTCCTCTTCTAAAGAAAAATAGTAAGAAGGCATTTGTTGCATCTTGGAGCGATGAAGATGATTCCAATGATGAAGATGAAGTAGTTAACCTATGCCTCATGACCACTCAAGAAGAATTCAAGGTATCTTCTAACTCAAATTAATTTAATTCATTTACTTTTGATGAGTTACAAGATGCTTATAATAAGTTGTATTTGGGATTTGAGACCATGAATTACAAATATACAAAATTAATTTCAAAACTCAAAATTGAAAATAAATCGATTTTGAAAGCTAGAGTTGATTTTGAAAATCAAAATGAAATTTTGAAAAATGATTTAGAGCTTTCAAAAATCAAAATAAATGATTTAGAAAAGAAAAATTTTGAGTTAGGAGTTAAGCTTGAAAGCTTAACAAAAAAAAAAAAATTTCTAAAACAACTTAATATGTTTAGAAATGACAAAATGCTCACATTGTCATTTTCATGGTCATAAGGAACATACTTGTCCTTTGAAGAAAGGAAATTTCAAGGATCCAAAGCAATTTGGATACCAAAATCTACTTAAATGTCTCTTGTAGGTGTGTGGGAGCAATGGTGATAAAAGTGATGATATTCAAGATGCTCTAGCCACACATGAAAAAGGAATGGATAACCTCTAAACTTAATGCTTTTGATTTTGGTTATTTGGTTGTTCATTTGGATTTATGCATAGATGAGTTTTGATTTTGAATGATTATGCATTATTTTAATCTCATGTATGTTGAAAAGATGTTTTATGATGAACATTTTAAAGTTTTAATGATTTTTCATAATTTTTGGTTCATCAT